CTTTAAAAAAAAAAAAAGAGTAAGTGAGTGCAAAATTCATACCTGGGAAGGAATGACATGCTGTTGAAAGAAAATTACAGAGACCTGAAATAAACAGAAAGACATTTCATATTCTTGACTAGAGGAACTCTTCATGTCATTAAGATGGCAAAATCTTTAGGCAAAATCTAGAATGAGGACAATGAAACTTTTAGAGCTTTCAAGGATACAAACGGGGTTACAGATTCACCACCACCTCACTAAGGGTTCAACACAAATCCTACCAAAAGCCCAGCTGGAATCTTTGTAGACATTTACAAGATGACCCCAAAACCGCTGAGGAAATACAAGTCACGTGGGCCATAAAAAGGTCAAACCAATCTTGAAAAGAACAAAATTGTAAAATTCACCCTTCTCAATTTCAAAACTCATTATAAATCTACCTCAATGTAAATATAGGCATACTAATCAATGAAATGGAATTGAGAGTTCTCACCTTCACAATTGAGGTTCAACAAAAATTCCAAGAAAATTCAATGGAGAGATGTGCCAGGACATCTGGATATCCAGTTTCCAAAACAATTAAACTGGGTGCCAACCTCACATCACATACAAAAATTTTAAAAGATCAAAGGCCTACATGCAACAACAAAAATTATAAAACTTTTCAAGGAAAGCATAAGAATAAGTCTTTATAATCTTGTATTATAGAATAGTTTCTTATATATAAAGCCAAAAGTACACACACACACACACACAAAAAAAAAAAACAGATAAATTGGACTTTCTCAAAATTCTAAATTTTTTGTCATCTAAAGGATACTACCTTTTTTAAAAAAAGGGCAATGTGTAGGATAGGAGAAACCAATAAAATATGTATCTGGTAAAAGGCTTTTACAGAGAATTTATTAAGAACTTGTAACTCAGTTTTAAAACCACAAATAATTCAAGGGTTTGAAGAGATATTCCTCCAGTGAAGAGACACAATTGGCTAATAAGCACATGAAAAAATGCTCAATGTCATTAGTCATCAAGGAAACAAATCAAAACCACAGTAAAATATCATTTCTTACATTAGTGAGAGCTATCATTAAAAGACACAAGTGCTGAGGAGGACACAAAGAAATCGGAACACATAAATTACTGCTAGTTGGGATACAAAATGGTACAACTACTTCTGAAGGTAGATCCGGAAGTTCTTGAAACACTGAAACACAGAGTTGTGATTTGGTCCTGCAATTCCCCTCCTAAGGAATATATCCAAGAGAAACGAAATAAAAATGTCTACATAAAACAGTAATTGATTAAACAACCAAAGCAAGGAAACAATGCAAATGTCCATCTCTTGACCAATAGGTAAACATGGTACACACTTATAAATGGAGTATTATTTGGCAATAAACAGTAAATTGATACATATTATAGGAAAAACATGCTAAATGAAAACCGTCATAAAAGATAACATTCCATTAATAGGAAATATCCACAAGAGGCAAACTCATAGAGACAGAATACAGATCGGTTGTTCCCTAGGTGGGAAAGAGAGCACAATGATTCTAATGGGTTAAAGGTTCTTGTGGGCATAATGACAATGTTCTAAATCTGTGGTCAGTTGCACAATATAGTGACTATACTAAACAACTGAATTATAGCTTTAAATAGATAAATTATGTGTTACATAAATTAAGTCCTAAGAAAACTATTATTTTTAAAAAAATTAGACCTGTCTCGAAAGTAGAAAAATGATGCTTCACTGGAAATAATGTTAAGCAAAAGCAAACAGCCCTCTGTTAGATGTTCCTATAAAACATAATTCAGTCCATGATTCCCAGGAGCAGTTCACAAACCAATACATAAAAATAGCGTAATTCAACAGGCCCGAGAACCCCAAAGCCTCTAGTTCTAGGTCCAGTGGGTTCTAGGAAGCTATATTTTCCACAGAATTCCAAAATTATCATAATGAATGTGTAGAACTAGGAAACCACTGAGCCATCATGATCCTCAGTCAACAACTGTATGATTTTCTGGAATCTATGAGATAATCTATTGCTACATCTGGTATTTATCTAGTATTTCACATTCAACTGACAATCTGATGGTACTTAATGGAATTTACCTCCCTGAACAAAAAAATCTGAGTTTAGAAAGTGGTGGCTTCACTTTTTGGGCTTCCCTTACTTAAAATCTTCAAATCCTCTTCTTTGGAGCAGGTTTATATAAACTGAATAAATAAAACATCACACACATTCTCTAAAACTGTATTGCTAGAACTGGGCACATTGGGGAGTTTGTTATTTTGCTCAAATATTTATATTTTCAGATACAGATATATTATGGAATAAAATGCAAATTTTCATGGATTTAAAATAGTATCCAGAAACTTCAAGAAACAATGGATGTGTTTGAACTGCACTTCGGATTCTAAGGGTACACATTTATCCCTGTCTGTAATTAGGCTTGGGTAGAAAAATCTGAGGCAGCCAGGCATTCTGCTTTCCATTGCATGGGTGATGAAATACGCACTTCTTCATTCGGAACATTCTGTAGATGAGTCAGGTTGTTGGTTGACAGCGCTCTGAGCAATTCAAGAAAGCAGGAAAACGTCTGAATGGAATTCGAAGCCTACACCGTAAGATGTTAACGTGCTTCAGAGGCAAGCTGTGCTCAGGAAAACGTCTTCTGGGGATCAGGCCTTAGAGTTTATTCTGTTCTGATATTTTAACCAGACAGATATTAAAGTGCAACCTCCAGAGCTATCTGGACATCAATTGGGTAGTGCAGGGTGCACTCTAGTTGCTTATCTGGGGTTACCCAGGCCCCAATCCATGAAGACACCATGGGTAAGCCTATTTGGGACCTGGATTACTTACCACTAAAGAGAAAATGTTCCTCTAGACTTCCAATCTTTCTCTTAAATCTAGTGCTCTGATCGTGTGTGTGTGTGTGTGTGTGTGTGTGTGTGTGTGTGTGTGTGTCTGTTCTTTTTAAGCTAATTGCACAAAAGAACTTGTGATAGCAACACTGAAGAATGAAACATCAAAGAAACAGAATTATAGTATCAGTTCTGAAATAGTTATATAAATCTGTTATCAATTTCTGTAGCACTAAATTAGACAAATGGAAAAGAGGAATCCTAAGGTCTTTTCTAGCTCTTAAATTCTGTTGTCACAATACTTGCCAATACTGTAAGATATGTACTACAAATTGCAAATATAATTCAAAAGTAGAGGAGAATGAGGAGGAGGAGGAGTAACAGAAGAAGCGGGAGTAAGAAGAAAAGGGGGAGGAGTTTCTAAACAAGCATTTCTTATCCTGCCCTCCATGGTGTCCTTCTGTTACCACCTCAGCTCAAACAAAGCCTCTTCTCTCTGTGCCAGCTTTTTGCAACAATCATCAATTCTGGTCTTCAATCTGCCCTTAATCATTAGATTGATACATGCGTTGGAACAATTTCCCTTTTATCATTTTCTTCAGTCTACTGCAGGCTTGTCCCAATTTATCCAGCCTTTTCTCGCCATGTTATCACTGCTACTGTTTTCTGGAGATTGAATCTAGCATGTTAACACTGAGAAACAGCCCCAGCCCTTTTTTACTTTGTATTTTTGAGAAAGGGTCTATGTAAGTGTCTGTAGTAATCAAGGTTAGGCTCAAACTTGCAGACCTCCTGCCTCAGCCTTCCAGAGTGCTAGGATTAGAAGCATGCACCACCATGCCTATCTTCTAGCCCTTTCCTGTATTAATTTCTATCTCAGCAAATCCGTCAGTACTTTCATCTGAAATACATTACACAAATCATAGTTTCTTCATTTTACAATTCTCCTACCTGAAATACTCTCTACCACATCTTTCATTTTGTTCTCCATTCTTTCACAAATAACAATCTTACCTACAACTGCAAAGCTTTCTTTGGCTACCTTCTTTAAATTCTGGAGGCCTTTAGCCTATAAATTTCTGGTATCTAGCATATGCTTTCCTCAACTGGGCAAATTTGACACAGAAGAGGTCTACACCTCCACCTCATCTTCTCCAAGTAAGCATCTCGACATTCGTATGGGTTGAATAGATAACCCATGGCACCTACAGCCTTTTAAAACATCTAATGAACTGCTCATACACACTTAAAATCTTTAAAACAAACCAATCCTGCACTTGGCAAGAGCATTTTCACATCTGTGTTCTACAATTTAAGATAATTTTTTAGGTCTGAGTTAATATATCCTCTTTTATAAGAGGGTGGAAGAGACAAAGATTTCAAAGTCATACAAAACTCAATTGCACAACTTTAACGAGATGAAACTTTTCCAGAAACAAAACTAAGAACACAGCTTTAAACAAAATTTAAACCCCTTTGCGTACAGAAATTGCTGTAAACTCAGATTTTAGCAGGGAAGAAAACAGACATTCTGTCTGGTAAAAATCATTTAAACAAACGGCACATGTTTTTCTCCATCAGCCATGCAGAACACACAGCTTTCATAACTGCATGTGTTTTGACAAGCATCGATACCTTTTCCCCTAGTGGTGAGTACCCCTGCTTTAATTCCAGAGACATTTCACTCAGCTACAAAGGTTTCAGTCTTAATAAAGAACACTGAATCCGGTCTTCACCCTTCTGATGATACTGAGATAATGCGGATTCAAGTCCAAATTTGCCACTTTCACTTCCATACAGAAAAAAAGGCCTCTTAAAAAGCCAGGAAACATTCCCAACAGCCCTGTGATGAAGTGTTTGTAAACATTATAAAACTGACTGCAGAACATGAAGTATCACACTGAGACAAAGAAAATGTTTTCAACATGTCTTCTTAAATTGAAGCAAAGCTATTTCAACCAACGTGCTAGGAAGTTTCCACTAATTCAAAATAGCCTGAAAGTAACACTGCAATTTATTTCACAGGACAAAGAAAAGAAACTTAGGGAAGAAAAAAAAACTTAAATGTTTAACAAATTTATCTGTTAGTTATCAAAAGCCAATTTTATTTCTTCACCAAAGATCTTTTAAACAAGTCTGCAGTACTCACATGCAGAGCCAACGGGTCTGGTAGGAATTCGGCATCCTCTCCAAAGATAAAATCAGGTGGCAGCTCTGGATACTGGGCATTGAAGATGATATCCCCTAAAGTAAAAGAGAATGGCAGGCCACTCTTAGTTCCTTACTAACACATGAACACTCTGGAAAATGTATCCCAAAACTTTAATTTATATTTAGCTTTTAAAATTTTGGAAAATTCTGAATAATTCTACAAATAAAAAGAAGAACAGATACACTTTTTTAAATCAACATTCACAACAAGCAGTTCAAAAAATAGAATATGCTATGAATATAAATTCCCAAGTAGAAGAGTAGAAGCAGCTTGTTATGGCTAGATAGAGATGACCCAAAACCTAATGCGCGCATACTGGGAGTTTTGGGAAGTGCCTGGATTTAGGGTGCGTAAATCAGGGTTAAATTGTGGGATGCTGGCATGAAGGGTGTATGATTACTAAATCAGCCCACCGAATTGTTTAGCTTAGCTCTAGGTATGGCTAACAGAAGGCCCCCCCTGGCTGTGGATGGCACCACCCAAAAGACTGGCACCCTGGGAGGGATAAAACGGAGAGTCAGGCTTGCTGCTGCTGCTTTGCTGTCTCCTGTCTGCTTGCAAGGGCTGACTTCTGTGATGCCCTCTGCCATGCAACTGCTAACTGACTGTGAACTAAAACCTCTATGATGAGCCTACTACTTTCCTCCTTTAACTTGTGAGGATCTGGTATTTTGTCTCAGCAACAAGAAAAGTAACCAAGATGCAGCTCCATCTAAAGTACACGCTGGTTACTTTTATAAGAAACATTACTGTGCAATCACTTCCTGCTAATTAAGAAGGCCTTACTAAAGACTGACTCTGTATAAACACAGCTCCTGCCTTGTAAAAGTTAAACATATATACCTTTGGTATAATGGAAAAAACACATGGCTTGGAATCCAAAAGAAATTTTTTATTTATATCCACAAAGTACTTTATTTATTAGCTCAGAGATCTTGAGCAACTTTTGACCTCTTTAGACTTCCATTTCTTCACAAGGAAAAAGGGGATATAATAGTGCTGACATCACAGCATGCCTAGTATAGCACCTGGCATACAATAAAAACTCCTATGTAATAGGAACACTACTTGTAGTAGTTATAGTAGTGTTCTTAAACATAACACAAATTTCAAAGTCTCATGAGCAAATCTGTGTTTTAAGTACTCCTACATTTCTTTTCTGGCCCCTCTTTAACTCTTTTCTTTTCACCCCTATTTACTCCTGTTAGTGGTAATAAGCAGTCAAGTTTATCACCAGTCTAACACACATATTGGATTGTGTAAGGGTCTGTGTATTCATGTGCATGCACACGACCTCTGCATGCATGCAGACCATACTGCTTTTTTAGTCCAATTAGTTTTACTATTCAAATAGTAATATTCACATGATATCCAAGTTTAAAGATTTAGGCTTTAGTTCTTAGTTGAGTCCTAAATCTCTATGTGCTAGGCATTGCAATGTCAGAATTAGCGAGCATAAAACATGATCACAACTGTCTCTGCTTACATAAGGTATCTACACTAGTTAAATTCATGGAGATAGACAAAAGAATGGTGTTTGCAGCAGAGGGGGAGAGTGCAGAATGGGGAATGTTTGTTTAATGGTATTAAATCTCAACTTTGTAAGTTGAAAAAGTTCTGGATATTGTTCGCACAATAATGTAGCATCTTTGCTTATTCTTATTTTATGGAAAAATGGTAAAACAAAATTTCATAGCAAAATAATATAAAATAATAGTTAATACATTGCATGTTGTTATCTTTGAAGTTGCTCAGGGTACAAGACATGGGCACACCTGATTCTGCCAGGAGCCATGTGAGCACCGTGTCCAGAAAGACCCTGCACAGTCCTGCAGGTTGTGAAGTGGCCCTCTAAACAACTTCATTTTAAGCAAATTCCCTTGGCCATACCTTTAAGGGTTTTTTTATATGTGAATAGTTACCAACTTGAAAATAAGAACCTGAACCACATACTTTATAAGAATGTTTTAAAAAGTTATGGGCAGAAAAATTTCTCCAACTGAAAAAAAATTTATCCAATCAATATGAGCACAAACCTTCCTTTTTAGTGAATTAAGAGACACTAATACTATAACTGATTTGCATTTTTTCTTTTTCCCTACTGTCCTCTCCCCTTTTACCCGTCCTAGTTCCTTTTTCCCTCTGAATCATTTCTTCCCACTTCACAGGATCTACTGTACACTTTATACCTTTTTAGTTTTCTCACACCAGGGAGACAATACAATACTTATGAGTTTGAGTTCACACTCTCTCTTCTTTTTTTTTTTTTTAACAGGGATCAAATTCACAACCTTGCACTTACCAGGCAGGCACTTGAGCCACTGAGCTAAATCCTCAGCCCGAGTCTGATTTATTTCACTTATGAGTATGGTCTCAAGTTGCATCCTTTTACCCTTACCCAAGTCTCAAGTTTACTCTCCTTTATGGCTGAATAGTAGCCCATTGTATAAAAAATACCATATCTTTCTTATCCATTCCTCAGGTGATGGGCATTTGGGATGTTTCAAAGACTTAGCTATTACCAATTGTATTGCTCTAAATATGGGTACACATGTATCTCTGCGCTATGCTATTTTAATTCTTCTGAGAGGATACACAGAAGGGAAATAGCTGAAACAAATGAGACTTGTAATCCTAGTTTTCTTAGGAATTTCCACAGTAGTTTACCAGGCTACAGTCTCATCCTTAGTGCAGAAAGGTTCCTTTTTCCCCACAGTCCCTCCAAGCACTTGTGATTGGTTGATTTCTTAACAACAGCCATTCTTTCTGGAGTGACATAGAATCTAAGTGCTGTTCTAATCTGCAAATCTTGAATGACCAATAATGTTGAAGATTTTTTCATATATTTATTTGCCATTTGTTTTTCTTCATCTGAGAAGTATGTATTTACCTCACATGTCCTTTTTTTACTGAATCTGAGAGGTCTGATGTTTTTCAATTCTTTATATGTTCTAGATAGAAGTCCTTTCTCTGAGACACAATTGGCTAAAAATTTTTCTCACTCTGAGTTTCTCACTCTGTTTGTGACTTCTTTTGCTATGCAAAAGCTTTTGAATAAGATGAGATCCCAGTTGCTGATTCTTTGAAGTTGTTTCCCCCAAAACATCTTTTTTTCTACCAATCATGCTGATATTGGATAACCACATGCAAAACAATAAAGTTGAGGGTATTTATGAAGATGACGGAACAGTAAGCAGCAGAGTAAACAGCCGCTCTGAGAGAAACAGTCCAGATGCTGGAATGTAGCCTCGTGGGCAAGACAAGACAGAAAGAAGAGGGTCCCCTTGACCCAGGTAGACTAAAATAAAGTAAGAATCAAAGCACACAGAGAAAATTTTTTTAAAAAGAAAAGGAAAGGAAAACTTAAACAGAAGGCGGCAGCCAAAGGCACTTTCACCGGCGCTGGTCCCACCGTGCGAGAGGCGCCAGCGAAATCAGAGACAGAGTCACAGTGAAGCGGTGGCAGGCCAGGGCAAAGCCTCAGCGGGGATGGGGTGAGTGGCGGAGGGGGGCAGACCGGAGAGCCCCACCGGCCGGCGGTGAGTGCGGGGGACTCAGTCCGCCCCAGGAGTGGGCCATCGGCCAAGCCCCGTTTTGGAGTCGGGCAGGATAAGCCCAGAACCAGAACTGCGGCCCGCTTCGTCCAGCCACGCCCGGTGTAGAGCAGACTGATGGAAACTGCTTAGACTGAGCCCTGCCTGTGCGCGGTCCAACAGCCAACGCTGAGGTTTCCCTAAAGCTACCCTAGCTAACCCTCCCCACCTGGCACACACTAACTTGGTGAAGACTCCCTGTGGTTAACCAGCCTTCCCGCCCCTGCTTACACTCCAGTAGTCACCAGCAGATTCGCAAAAGCAGCAAACAGCAGAAATACCTAGCCAACACGCTTTGGAGCACTTATAACCAATACAGGAAGTGCCAGGGTCCCCGCTACCCACTTCTCTGGAAGAAACCAGGAACATGACAAGAGGAAGAAGCAAAAGGCAGTCGCTGGCCTCCAACCCAAGCAGTCCTGGTCCAGGAGAGGTAAACACGGAAGACATCGCGAGTCGCACACCTGCAGTTTCCGAAGTAACAGCAACTGTCATAAAGAAACAACTCCATGAAGATATAAAAGAACTTAAAACACAAATACTGTAAGTAAAGGAAGATATAAGAAACATAATAAAAGAATTGCTAAGCACCTCTCAAGAAGACACACATGAAAGAATAGAGGAGCATGGAGAAGGAGGGAAACCTTCAATGAAGAATATAAAAAAATTTAGAATACACGAAACAGATTCAAAGAGATTACCAGGAAACTAAAAACTCCATGGAAAGCTGGCAAAACTGCTTGAAAGAAACTAAAGATAGGCTATCAAATCTTGAAGACAGGTTTACAGCTTGCAATCACAAAAGGAAAGATCTCTTAAAAATAACAAGGACCTGGGAAGTGATGACACAAAGGCTAGACAAGAGGATCTATAGCTTAAGACTAAAAAATGTGAGTGAAGAAGCAGGGGTAAACACAAATGATGCAAAGTCTATTTAGAGAAATAATTAAAGAAAACTCCCCAAGCATAAGAAAAGGAAATGATATTCAGATAAATGAGACCATACAAAACTCCAGCCAGCTATAACCAAAATAGATCTACGCCTAGACATACAATAATCAAGATCCCAGAAATTCAACACAAGAACAGAATATTAAAAGCTGTCAGAGAAAAGAAACAGATCACCTATAAAGGAAAACCCATCGGAATCACAATAGACTTCTCAACACAAACCATCAAATCAAGAAGAACTTGGAGTGAAGTATTCCAAGTCCTGAAAGAAAATAACCTCCATAGTCAAAAAGACAGATAGTAGCAGGCACTGGTGAGAATTTGGAGGAACTGGTAACCTACACACTACTAGTGGGGGTATGAAATGATGTAGCTGCTTTCCAAAACTAGTCTGGCAGGTCCTCAAAGAATTAAACATAGAGTTACTGTTGACATTCCAATTTCACTGAGGTATATACTCAAAAGAAATGAAAATACTGTATTTCAAA